AATTGGTTTAATCATATGATCAAAAATTTTAAACAATTCATTACTTGGAAAATGACCGAAAGGTTTCTGATAAGCATGCCTTAAAGGAACAGGTCCAAATGCTTAGAAACATAAAAGTTAGATTTCTTACAAAGATCAGTTAAGACACTTTAAACAGAAAATATGCCAAAGATAATCAAGAAATTTACTTAGAAATAAATTGAAAATCGTATTTGCTCTATTATAAGTCCGATTGTAGTGAAAGCGGTGTAACGCTTTTCAATTTTTGTCAGTTTCCGCGACTAGAATATTGTTTCTGGAAAAAAAGGGAGTGAGCAATTGATCTGAAATTTTGCACACGAGCTATAGGTCTTGACCTTCATCAAATTTAACATTAAACTCGAAAAATTATTTCCAACCTTGTGTTTTAAAAAACGTCAGTGGAGTTCCTTTAATATTATTGACTATGGCTGACATGTTTCGGAGCATGCTTCACATGTATTTAACATGTGTGAAATTTGAATTCCGCTCCATCTCTCCGATTTCAAATCAATTTTGTATTTTGTAATCTTTACCAAAACCTCAACTAAACCAGATATCAAAAAAAAAAGATAAATAAAAAAAAAATGTAAGAGGTCATATAAATTATTGTTAAAGTTTTAGGAAAAGAATGGTAAAAGTTTTTTTTTGTTATAGATATTAAATTGTTTGTCTTTTGAAATGTAAAATTCGTGTCGGAAAGTGATTACCTTTCAAAAAGGCGAGTTTATTTACATGATAAATATTTGCGGTGCAATCAAAGTTAGCCTATAAATTTTTATGACCTCATTTAGTCTCGTTCAAACAAAGAGTCCATCAAATTTTCAATTATCCCTTGAAAATCGATACAACGCATGCGCTGACTATGTCTGGTCAATGAAACTGCTAATGCGCAAAGGACACATTAAATTTCCGAATCTAATTTTCTTTCATTCTAACCTCTGACGATGTGCTTATTTTGAAAGAGGGTCCATGCATCTATATATTAAACAATGCTCATAATTTCATAAAGTCTCACTCTTTAATTTTATTTAAACTTCTTTTGTCCCCATGGACAAGAATGCATGTTTCTGTAATGCCACAAAAAATCCTAGTGTCTGCATTTGTCAAAAATTGTGGAAAATGCCTCGTATTACACAAATCTCGCGAAAATGCTTTTGTTTGTTTGTTTGTTTCATTTTACGCCTTTCGCAGGGTATTGGTACGCGTTTAACTTTTGAGGCATGGAGGAGCACGTGACCTGTTTTCGGTACATGGAGGAGCATGTGATCTGTACACCGTACCTGATTGGTTTATTGACCTTTTCGAAAACCTAGCTAATACCGTTTGCCGGTACGTTACGGATTTACCTCTAGGGAATTAGTCCGAATAGCACCTAATTAACAACAAAAAACTATTACGTGATATTTCTAATTTTCTATAATTATTTTACCGTTTAAGGTGGTAAAACTTGAATGATGTGTTTGAAAATTATCAATGTTTCTTTAATATCTATCTCAACTTTACAAACAATAAATTGTTTATACTGAAAATCTACAAAATTAAAATATTCGTAGTGGCATCTGCCATACTAAATAGAGATATTTTCAGCGTAAACTTGTGTGTTTACTTTAATTTTTTTGCTCGGAATTATTCAGAAAATGGTCAATAAGAAATAATTGTTTCATGTTCAACCTTTTCCGGTCTCAGGTCTTCAACGGTCACCAGTTTCCAAAGACTTTTTTCTATATTTATCGATTATTGTCAACTGTATTCCTGATACAAACGTTTATTTATACCCCAAAACAATGTTAAAAATAGTTAAATGAAATATCTTTATATCATTAAAAAATGTTGCCCGCAGGAAACCATTTTACTTGTATCTATATAAGCGGGTAGTTTTACCAGTTACAACAGTACTAGACTACCTTCCTCCGCGCTAAACTCGCGAAAATGTGAACATGTGAACTACATTTAAATAAAGCTCCGAGAGCATTGATTAAACAATTGTGAAATTTCGCAGATTTGTTCGATCATAGGAGTCGATGAAAAGTGCAGGATATACAAAGTTATCCGATCGACTTTACACGTATTACTCCCCTTGATTATTAAGCCACGCGCTTTTTTCAATAAGTTGCCTCCCTTTGCTATCGTTAAAAATGAAATTTATGTGGGTCAAAAAAAATATCCTTTGCAATAAATTTTCGACAATGCTGTTAATAAAACACTTGATAAATAATCAAATATATTTTACAATGAAATATAGCTTCAATGCACTGAATGAAAAGCGGGGCGTTCTACTTGTCATGTACTTCAAGTAAGGAGAGAGAAAACAACACAACAAAAAAACGTGCAACGCTTTTTCTACCCTGAATTTGCTTTTTTTAATCAAAACCGCCAAAAAATTTTATTGATAACCGGCGAGGGGTTCCGAATCTGTATTCCTTGAGGTTTTTTCTGGGAACTTATAATAGCGCATTTTACTCAAGGAAGCTTTTAACATAATGGCGAATGCTAGGGCATAAAACGCCCGAAGTATCTGCTGCCCGGACGATATACAATGACCACAATGTACATTGTTAAAAAGTGATAGGACTGAAATAAAAATAAAAGTAAAAAAACAAAACAAAGAATAACAGAATACAAGTGTTTGATCAGACACTGTACGTAACGTTGACATTAGAATTATTGACCTTTAAATTAACCTGCCAAGGGGAATGTATTTAGTACCTAAAAATCACCCCAAACTTGACCTTTGACCTAATAACCTCAATATTAACATATATACTTGTTTAATAATAATAATTATAATCATAATTAAAATATACTTACTGCTTATAACTAAGCCTGTGCCACAAGACTTAAAACGTACGTCAGGATATAAAGAAATTCACATTTTATTTTAAAATACGAACTGGATTTAATTTTTTCGCCCACATACAATTATCACATTTCGCCTTTTTTTCAACTGATTATGCTAATTATATATACGTCTTTGTTAAACTGAACTTAAATAGGATATGTGTTATCTGATATATTATGTATAAATAAACATCGCATATGTTCGTTGTGAAAGGGTGTTAAAGGAAGTGAAATATAGGAAGAATATTCAAAAGAATCCACCCCCTTCTTTGCCTGTTAAGATTTTTAGAACAGTTATACATAGAAAATATTAAAGTGGTAATTGCACTGACTTCATTAATTTTCTTAAAAGTTAAGTGCCTTATTTCAAATATCGCCCGCCCTATTACTTAACGTGGACTTGTCCATTTAGTAGTAATGCAAAAGAACTTTGTGTACAGACGTCAGATATACAGGTTCGATCCCTGCATGTGGCAAATATTTTCAATCTACGACAGGGCTGATGGCACTGTATCTAATGTTTCACGTCCTTCTAAGCTGTTTTAAAGAAGTTGGGTGTATGGTAAACGTCATTGACCGTTTGGGAATGCAAGATATAGTGATTCTCTATCCCAGAACACAAATAAGTCCTTGAGCGCGCAGTGTTAAGCACCCATTCGCGGAACCTTGGTTTAGGGGGCGCGGATGGTACCTTGCACAAACTATTCGGCGTGGATGGTACCTTGCACAAACTATTCGGCGTGGATGGTACCTTGCACAAACCATTCGGCGTGGATGGTACCTTGCACTTGTCACAGTGGCACTATCGTCCATGAACAGACTCAACCAAACCGAGTCTGCAACATTTTCAATTTTGCCGTTTTGGGTGCTCGATCATGACAGATTTTGTTTTTCTCTGTTTTAAAGTATTATCCGAAATGAAATTATTGTTCGAGTAGTGGTGGTGTTTGTGTGTGTGTGTGTAGGGGGGGGGGTATGTTTGACTTTCAAGAGGCATTCATTGTGGTGGAAAAAATGGCGATATTCTATGGTGGCTGATTATGAACGCTTTTGTGAATCGTGTCGGCGCTAGCGACTTTCGCCTTGTCGTCATGTCGCTAACGATGCACGCTAAACGGCGCGTTGTCGTGCGGCGTGTTGTCGCGAGGACACATTGTCGCTCGGTTCAAATCGAAGGATTGGCTTGTGAGTCAAGCGACAGGGCGACATCGCGCCGCACGAAAACGCGCCTATTGGCGTGCTTCGCTAGAGACAGGACGACAAGACGACAGTGTGACAACGGGCAGTTTGGCGCTTTGTCGTGTTGTCGCTAGCGACAAATCGAAAAGGCGATAACGATTTAGGTTGTGTTGTCGCTAACGAAAACGCCACGCGCAGTGTACAAAATCAGCCACTATAATAATTATCCAGCAAAGAATGTATTAACATTGCGATAGTGTACGGGGATTTATTAAAGACATTCTTTGACATGTAACAATAAATGAGCCGTGTCACGACAAAACCAACATACTGGGTTTGTGACCAGCATGGATCCAGACCAGCCTGCGCATCCGCGCAGTCTGATCAGGATCCATGCTGTTCGCTATCAGTTTCTCTACTTGCTATAGGATTTGTAAGCGAACAGCATGAATCCTGATCAGGCCGGTCTGGATCCATGCTGGTCTCAAACCCATAATGTTGGTTTTGTCGTGACACGGCTCAAATGTGCTTGTCAGTCTCTCCGTATTTAAGTAGTCCTATCTTTTCAATATCCTTATTAAACAACGCATTTTTAGGTTGCTCATAATTTCTAAACACAATGAACATGTTTTATCTTATGTGAACGTGCAACAAACAAAACGTTTCTGTACTATATCTTATGCTAAGTACTTTAGATCTAATACAGACATTTCTAACTTCTGATCGTGTTCTAGTAAGAATATTGCATAACAGTACAAGTATGATTTTGATATAAAGGGACTTTTACCAAAAACACGATACATACATATTCCATTATCAATAACGTCAATTTTTTAATGTTCTAGATCTATACGTCCTTACGTTACGTAAGATGACGTTAACGCAATAATAAGCGGCAGTTCACTCGACTCGTTACGTCATTGAAAATGTTGCTATAAAATGTGTTAAGATATCTCTCTTACCAGTTTGTAAGCCTCATACTGCGCGCGTCGTCTGCACCATGACGTGTGATTTCGTGGCCCGGAAGTGACGTCAAGAGACGGATCCCAAAGCCAGGGAGGCAGCTCAAAAACAGCAGCAAGTGCCTTGCATTTTTCACAAACCCTCACATCTGTTTCTGTGACTGTCATCTTTGCCTACATAGAGAGATATAAACGCATGTTTTAAAGGCCCATTATGCCCCAAATATGCGTTTAAATACTATTGTCCATAAGCTTTCTATTTTTGATATCCGGTTAAATTTTCCAAAATGTTACTAATTGGCCAATTACCTAAGCCATCTTTTCTTTTGTTGCTTTTTGGCAATAAGTACAGTTTAAGTGATACAGTATTTTTGTATGGAAGTCAAAATACTACTTTGTTTACATTTTGCTCATTTTGTGAGCAATAATATCACATTCAGCACTACTTTCCTGAGGTGATATGCATCGAACATTCTCTAAACTATTACCTAAACGTTAAAAGATTCTTTCTTGCCCTTTTAACAGAAGGAATTATTTATTCGTTTCTGAGGCATAATGTGCCTTTAAAATCGATTTATTATTCTTGAATATTATTACATCAGAGTAGATATAACATTTAATTAAAATACAGACCTATTTCTTGATGCAGACTAAATACAGAAGTGCTTAAATACTAAATTGCGAAAGTAGTTACATGTAGGTCAAGTTTATAATTGTACAAACTTTATATGCAGCACTAAATGACTTTTTTGCTATTATTTTTGTAAGTTCGTAATATTGCGCTAATCCAATATACCCCGGTAAGTTCTCGAAATATTTTATAGAACAGATGCCGTTTTTGGGATCCAGTCCGTTTTGTGTCCAGTGTCTGATAATTAAACCAGTTATCATGGATGATAATTGTTGGCTAAGATTGTTCTTGAAATTTGTGAAGTTGCCGACCACGGCTTGTTTTCATAATCGTTCAGGAAAAGAAATTTTCCCCATTTCATAACGCCAAAGATATCAAAGTACTGTACAATAGGGAGAAACTTATCCATGTGTTTAGTATGATAATATAAAAGTTCTCGATGCAAATTAAGTTGTAAAACATAATTATTCTTTCTTATTCATGAAACATTAGCATGTACATTTGCATACATCAACTTGATAATGTACCAGTTTAACATATAGAAAGTGAAAACATGTAAATTTTACGACAATTTAAAGCACATCAACGGGTTTAAACATGTACTCGAGCCCGTGTAACGAAGCTATTTCTTACAAATACTGTATCTCAAAAGTTTTTCGCAAAATAGAAAGTCATTTTGTTAAACATATAGCTTATAAAACTTTATCATTTTTGCTTACTTAATTTCATAGAGTCATAACAGCTTAAACTTGATATATATAAAGATTAAACATATCTTAGTTTCATGAAATACACTAAATCGTTTTAACTTACCTCTTATTAAGTATCCCTACGAAGATTAATACCTCAAAATAAAGAAGGCGTTCACAACCGTAGCCGTACAATGGACGTGTATGTAACGTATAAAAGTAGCTAAATATATAAGTATTTATATATATCACCCTGGGGCAATGGAGCATAGGTTTTACCTTTTTCTTGATGTACCTAATTTTAGAGCTATAAAATGTAAAGAATACGTCGGTATGCTTTCACACTAAATTTAAATGTATGCTGGATTAATCATAAGTAAGGAAATGAATTAAATGGTATCATAATTCAACCCATAGCATGCATACTTGCGGTAAGTGAACACACCCATGTGACCAGTGCAGACCACGATCAGCCGGCAAGATCGACCGGAACGAACCGTCTTATATCATGGCCTGCACTGTTCGCTTTTCAGTCAGTCCTAATTTTGAAATGTTCCCTGAAAATGATGAATGGTTTTGTCCAAAGTCAGTACTAATTTTGAAAATTTCCCTGAAAATGATGAATGGTTTTGTCCAAAGTCTGTTCTAATTTTGAAATGTTCCCTGAAAATGATGAATGGTTTTGTTCAGACTGAATGATGGACAAGTCCATTTAAGGTATTTAGCGTGGTAAAAGATTATATAGATTTTCCCTCAACGGATGTATTAAATAACCAGTTTCTATGTTACTGCATATTTTGAAATTTTCCCTAAAAATGTAGACGGAAAGAAGGACAAGTCCATTTAAGATATTTAGCGTGGTACAGGTTATAATTATATATAACGGTTGCTTCAGCTAACCAGTTCCTATATAACTGCAAAACATGGTCTGACATACGATGGCTATTTTAAATTTATGCATAATATTATGTTAGCTTCATACATATCTTTTCTTGTTAGTTTTTGTATTTTTTCCGCTTATCCTTCAAATGATAAGAAAAAAGTGCAAAATCATGACACTTTGTGAAGACTTTAGATATTAACAGGGGGTATGTATTTAATCAAGTTATATTTTTTTATACAAATTTTATCGTCTGCGCCGATAATGGGTATCAGTTATTATCAGGAACGCCACTTTGGGATGACAGACTACATACGTATAATTTCTTTGACCAAGGACATCTCGCTAGCAAATGGTTCGTCTGCTTCGGGGAAAAAAAGGCCGATACCAAATGCACCTGCTTAATGTTGCAAAACAACTTTTTATTAATATCGACAACTTTGCAATAATTGATAAAGGAAGTGACTCGACACAGTGAAAGTATACTGTAGTGTAAAAATTAATTCTATATTTTTTTTATATATTATACATGTATAGTCTATATATACTGTATCTATACTTTTTTTCTAGAATTACTTTTTACTCCATCCCAACAGTGTCGAGTCCTTATGGTCGTATGTACATTTAATCACAGTCCACTACTCGCAAACTTTAAAAAAAAACCCATATTTTCCCACCATACTATCTATCTTGTGTGGTATGAACATATTTATTGAAGCTCACTTACGAAACAAGTTCTTGCAACTTATATAAATCACTTTCAAGTGTCATATGAAGAAACATGGTCGTGACTTAAGAAGGGCTCGAACCCATGATCCCTGGGCTGAGAGGCAGACATTTAACCACTACGCCACCGCCCCGTGTATGGTGTATTAGTGAGCCTACTGACCAACGCTTTCATAGCCCCAATGTCAAAACGGGGACATAATATAACGGGACACGCAACTGGGGATAAGCGCCGCGTAATCTTTTCGTGCAATCAGGCCGCACACATAATTTTGATCGCTGTGATATCCCAGGTCCTTAAAGCCATGCAGCCCATACGAAATTGACCCTGTACTACAGTTGTACTTGTCAATGTATACGGTAATAAATGAGCTTCATGCTGGCAAAAACTGTCGTCTGCTTAAAATTTCGTCTGCTTTATTTTTTTTTAAATAATTTTATCAAATTTTGTCGAACTAGAAAAATAACTGTTAAACAACTTGATAAACATGAACTTAAAAATGCTCGGCTACCAAGATATTTGCAAAGAGCTATTTGTTGTCGCTCAACTAAGAGTCACGAATAATCATATTTTTTCCTTTTTTAAATTTATTCATCTTCAAAAAGACCATGTTTCTGATGTACGTCTTCTAGGCTGGTACCAAGCCCTTTGTAAAAGCTATTGGCGTCACTCTTAGCAGCCCAATGGTTGATTTACCATTTCTTTTAAATTAAAAAAAAGGGCTAAAGCTAAATGAAGGTTAAAATGAACGCTAAAACGGCGGTTTAAAGACTTTACAAAGAAAAAGTTTTGTTAATTTAACCATTCTTTAACTGAGCTGACATCAACTGTAAATTGTGCCCCACTTCTTTCAAATTACACTTGGATGTCACAGCGTTGCCACTTTCAGGCAGCCATAAATAAAAATAAAAAATCATTGACCTTTCTTGTAAACTGTTGTTGGGCGAACCACGAAATATAAAATCAATTAAAGCATTAAATCATAATACAGGGCTATATGAACATTGTTTCTTAATCTTAACTTGGTTCACTTTTATCACTGTCATTCAAATATTTACTCAACACTCGTTTTTTTGAGATAAATAAGCTTTATTTTTAACAAGGAATGGACCACCTGTCACGTAAAAGCAATTAACCAAAAATCCCCGGTGAATTTCTTAATAAAAACCAAAACATTTTTTTTCTATACCCACATTTGAAACTATGGGCCATTTAGGTCAGCGACTTTTTTTGACAGACGCATTTCATTAGATAATTTGCACATCGTTTCTTTAGGTTAAATGCTTTTATTGCAGAAATTCATTGAAATCTGCTAAATGCTAACTGAATGTGTCTAATTTAACTAGAACTGCCACTATCATGGCGTGAATACCCCCGCATACCACTTTGTCAGAATCAACAGTGGCCATTTAGAGCTCAAGGACAACCTCCCTGCCAAATCTGAGGTTACTAAGCCAGTGCATTGCTAATTATGTATTCTACATGCTTCAAATGTGAAAATGTCAAAATCAATACATTGCAGACAGGACATTCTTTAGCAATTGAGAAGAAAAGCTTTTTTTTGTCAAGGTCCCTGTGACCTTGACCTTTGACCCAGTGACCTCAAAATCAATAGGGGTCACCTTATAGTCATGATCAACATCCATGCCAAATATGAAGACTGTGGGTCGAAGGAATCTTAAGTTAATGGGTGGACAAACTTTTTGAAGTCAAAGTCCCTATGACCTTGGCCTTTGATCCAGTGACCTCAAAATCAAAAGGGGTCATCTACTAATCATGATCAACATCCATGCCAAATATGAAGACTGTGGGTCAAAGGAATCTAAAGTTATTGGCAAGACCAACTTTTTGAAGTCAAAGTCCCTGTGACCTTTGACCTGGTGACCTCAAAATCAATAGGGGTCATCTACTAATCATGACTAACCTCCATTCCAAATATGAAGACTGTGGGTCAAAGGAATCTTAAGTTATTGGGCGGACAAGCTTTTTGAAGTCAAGGCCCCTGTGACCTTGACCTTTGACCTAGTGACCTCAAAATCAATAGGGGTCATCTACTTATCATGACTAACCTCCATGCCAAATATGAAGACTAAGGGTCAAAGGAATCTTAAGTTATTGGGCGGACAAAGCTTTTTGAAGTCAAGGCCCCTGTGACCTTGACCTTTAACCTGGTGACCTCAAATCTATAGGGGTCATCTACTAATCATGACTAACCTCCATGCCAAATATGAAGACTGTAGGTCAAAGGAATCTTAAGTTATTGGGCGGACAAGCTTTTTGAAGTCAAGGCCCCTGTGACCTTGACCTTTGACCTAGTGACCTCAAAATCAATAGGGGTCATCTACTAATCATGACTAACCTCCATGCCAAATATGAAGACTAAGGGTCAAAGGAAACTTAAGTTATTGGGCGGACAAGAAAAAACCGACGGACGGCAAGCTGATTCCAGTATACCCCCCTTACAACTTTGTTGTGCGGCGGTATAACTAAGAGAATGCACAAACTGTTTGAAAAGCTGCATTACTTGCAAATGAATGTTTTATTTCGTTATTTGACCTTTGACCCCTAAGTGTGACCTTGACCTTTACCAGACACCCAAATTTTTTGCGCGACACTCCACCTCACTATGGAAAACATTTGTTACATTAAAGTCCCTCAACGCATGTGGAAATTACTCTCCGGGCACGGGTTTTGCGTTATTCCATAAGTGTGACCTTGACCTTTGAGCGGCGGACCTGGGTTTTGCGTGTGACACACCTGGTGAACATTTGTACCAAATTATTTTGTAATTCTTCCAGGAATTACCAAGAAAAAGACCAGACAAATCCAGATGGATGCATACATGGCCGTGCATACACCGAACTATACACCAAGAGTGGCGACAAAGTCAAGCTCATCGCAAGCAGGCTTGACAAAACTGAGACTATAAAGCTAATACAAGTATAAGTACTTTCAAATAATTATATCAAATCAAAGCATAATAAATAAAGCATTAGGGAAGGAAGTGTTTAATATCTGTACAAACCAAGGTGACTCACATATTAGCCGTGCCATGACAAAACCACCATAATGGGTTTGCGACCAGCATGGATCCAGACCAGCCTGAGCATCCGCGCAGTGTGATCAGGATCCATGCTGTTCGCTTACAAACCCTATTACAAGTACAGATACTGATAGCGAACAGCATGGATCCTGATCAGACTGCGCAAAAACAGAGCAAAATCAATAATGCTTACTAGTACATTAATACAGAACTTAATGCAATCATATTAAAGGGACTCCACTGAAGTTTTTTGACATGGGGGGACTGGAAATAATTTTTTGAGATTAATGTACCATTTCATGTAGGTCTAGACACATAACCTTTGTGCAAAATTTCAGATCATTCACTTGCTCTGTTTTTCCAGAATAATTATTCAAATTGTAACTTAAAAATGACCCAAAACTGAAAAGTGTTGCAATGCTTTTCATCCAAATCATATAAAGCAAAGCAAAAAAAAACAACTAAATTTTTTAATTTATTCTTTAGCATAATTATTTGCATAACAAAAACTGTCAGAAGACAGTAACATTCGACTATTCAAAAAGTTGTCACAAGTGTGTTTCATTGAGTATAATAATGCTTACCAATATGAAAACATAAAATTGTCCGAAAGGGTACAAAGGCTTGTTATTAAGATGTTTTATCGAGTTAATCACTGCTTTATTATTATGAATGCATAAAATTATTCCAAAAAAGGCACAAACCCTTCAGTAGTTATGGAGATATTTGCTTACATGCAAAAACTTAACCAAGAATTTCTAAGTCAAAAAAGGGGCATAATTATGTAAAAAAGCAAATCAGAGTTATGGGACTTGTGCCAATCATCTTAGATAATCACAGAAAACAAGTGTGTGAAGTTTCAATCCATTCCCTTCGGTAGTTATGGAGATACCAACTTGCACGCAAAAACTTAACCAAGAATTTCTAAGTCGAAAAAGGGGCATAATCATGTAAAAAAGCAAATCAGAATTATGGGACTTGTGCCAATCATGTTAGATTATCACAGAGAACAAGTGTGTTAAGTTTCAATCCATTCCCTTCGGTAGTTATGGAGATACCAGCTTGCACGCAAAAACTTAACCACTGGGACGCCGACAAATGGGTGACTGCATTAGCTCGATTATTCTGCGAATAGTCGAGCTAAAAATCTTTTATCTTTTTGTTTAAAGTGCCCCAGCTCATTCATGTAAGAAATTTAATTATTTTAGACCTCTGAGGATCCCTTTGAAAAAAATAATTAGCTCCCAGAAAAAAATAATTCATTAGACACATTAGAAACAGAACAAAATTATAGCATATTTTTCAGCTAGCTCCATTTATTCATGAAGTAAATTAATCCACTGATTAAAACTTGTTGCTTTAGTGTAAAGTTTTACTCAATTAACATAAATTTACATAGGCCTAAATCTATTTGTCAAAACAATGAATCTTACAAGATTCTATTACAAAATGGTTATTATTAATTTATATAAAGCAATTTTAATATTAACTTCATTAAAAGATTTACAATACATTAAAAAAACCCATAAAGAATAAGTCACTCTATAAGAAGATTTGAATGTATCATGTACAATGATCATAAGTTATAACACAATAATAGCACAATGATGTTAAATGATTACATATTAATAAAATGCCCATATGACTAAGGTATATGAAAACAAATTATGACCAACTTGGCATTAATGACTTTAGCTGCCATTACCATGATAACAATTTTCTCATTTTCTAGCAAAAAACTGTAATGAATGTTTGAATAATATGACCTATCAATCCACTTTTTTGCTGTAGATTTTGTACTGTTCTTAAAGGGACTCCACTAAGGTTTCTCGACATGTCAGGATTTTAAAGATTGATAATCCATTTGATGTAGATCTAGACCAATAACTTATGTGCAAAATTTCAGATCATTTGCTTCCAGAATAATTATTCAAATTGTTAAAAATGGCCACAAATTGAAAAGCGTTGCAACGCTGTTATCTCAAATCGGGCTAAAAATAGCAAAAATACAATTTTCAATATATTTCCGAGTATATTTATTATATTTTCTTTGCATATCTTTCCCATTTAAGTGCCCTAGTTGATCTATGAAAGAAATATTAAATTTATATTTTTATGCTTTTGGACCTCAGTGGAGTTCCTTTAAGAATTGTGTTTGAGCTATACTCATTTTGCCTTAGATTTCAAGCAAATATTTGGAAATTAGTCTGCAATATGCTAATTCAATTTTAGATTTTTTTACACTATACCTTGTAAATTTGCCTGTAAAAGATTCATTTTACCTTAGATTTTCTATTGCTTTTCATTGGAAATTGTCTGTTTAAATGGTTTTTTTTTAGATTTCTAAAAGTTTCTTGTAATTCTATCAGCCATATCTCATTTTGTCTAATATTTCTAAGTGCCAGTTATTTTGCCTTAGATTATATACAATTCCTTGGAATTTCGTCTGTCCGATGTTCATTTTGCCATAGATTTCTAAATGTTCCATTTTTATTTTGTCACTGTATTGGTTCAGCTGCCTGAGCTATGTATCTGTTCCTTGGACAAATTTTCATCTAGCTTAAAATTTATAACAGTTCCTTGTTATTTTATCTGCCTGATTCTACTTTTTCCTTAGATTTCTAACAGTTCCTCGCTTATTTTCCTTAGATTTCTAACAGTTCCTCGCTTATTTTCCTTAGATTTTTAACAGTTCCTCGCTTATTTTCCTTAGATTTCTAACAGTTCTTCGCTTATTTTCCTTAGATTTTTAACAGTTCCTCGCTTATTTTCCTTAGATTTTTAACAGTTCCTCGCTTATTTTCCTTAGATTTCTAACAGTTCCTCGCTTATTTTCCTTAGATTTTTAACAGTTCCTAGCTTATTTTCCTTAGATTTCTAACAGTTCCTCGCTTATTTTCCTTAGATTTCTAACAGTTCCTTGCTTATTTTCCTTAGATTTTCAACAGTTCCTTGCTTATTTTCCTTAGATTTTTAACAGTTCCTCGCTTAATTTCCTTAGATTTTTAACAGTTCCTCGCTTATTTTCCTTAGATTTCTAACAGTTCCTCCCTCATTTTCCTTAGATTTTGAATTAATCTTCGTTGAATTTCATTAACGAGGCTAAATCAACCTTTTGCATTCGTTCCATGGAATTCTGTCTGTGAAAACCCTCATTTAGCCTAGGATTTTGACTGTTCCTTAGCACAATTTTCATTTTGTTTAAGGTTTCCAACTGTCCCTTTACATGTAATGTGTTTGATCAACATTCACTTTGATTTAGATTTCTTTTTTTCCTCTTTAGTACTGTCCTTGCCTTTTCTCTTCACAGCCTTTTTTGGGGACTGAAAGCACAATATTTAACATATGACACGAAAAACTTAGAACTTAACTTTAACTATTATATATCTGGATCATTAGATTAGATTATCTTATTCTTAATAGTGCATAATTATTTCCAAGGGACACAACTGCAAATGCATCAATTTTCCTTTGCTTCTTAGTTACTTCCCTTCTTTATTTGCGTTACTCCTTTTAGAAATTCTGATTTGAATATGGTGTCTTTCCAGCTTATATGGTCAAAGAAAACTGCTTTTGTCCCTTGGTGCAATATTTCAGGCAAAAGCAGATATATGAGTGGAACCAAAGACCTCCCAGAACCTCCCATGCAATAATGCCTAAGTCCCTGGCAGGGATCAAACCTACATCAGCTGGAGGCAAGTAATCTAAAGTTAGTATCCTTAATCACTTGACCCAAGAGGCCCCCTTTATTTAGATATAGATATTATAAATCAGTTACCTCTTTTGTTCCATTTTTAAACTGTTTCAGATCAGCAGTAAATAGTACCTGTTTTCAAATAAACAAAATATATTTCTGTTACTTTATTATTATAATGTTTAAGGAAAAAACTGTGATGAACTGACATTAAAATTAAAAAAAAAAATCCCAAGCCAATAGTTACAAGTTTAAAAAGCAGCCATTTAATGTTTTGATGTTAGAATTATAATTATGTTTAATATTATTTTAAGTGTGAAGCTGCTCACACCGTGTTTCTCCAGGTTTTGAAATACTGTACCTATTTTTTAATAAGAAAGGTGTGAATACAACTTTGACAACATTATTTGAGAAAATACTAATACTGGCTGTTTTCATTCACGCTCATTAAGGTCTATAACCCTTAACTAACATACTAATTTCAAACCAATATCAAACATCAGAATCTGGCACTTTCACTCATTTAATTGGATAATAAAATCCAATAAATTGCATTATCAAACAGAAATTCTAAGATTTTATAGTCATAGTTTGATAAGGCACTAATATTGAGTTTCTAGCATACTAGTATTGAACAAGCATGATTTTATTTGGTTTTACTGAGGATCAAAGAAGAACCTCTGAATCATATATACATTGAAGAGTGTTAAAAGTGTACCAAACTCTTAAAACGAAGGATAAGGATTTCATTCCCAGTAAAGTTATATATTCTTTTCCTGTACCTCAAGTTTTATTGGTGAAATTAGAAATCCCAGACAGTGATCGTCTGGCTCAACTTAAAAGCCCTATTGGGAGAGGTCCACAAGAAGGGCTCGGACATTAGCAGAAAAGGCAAGCAAAGAAATTGCAAACTTGGTGCAAAATGGTTGTTACATGTTCTTAATGTCATATCAGTTACAAATAAACATTTTCTCGTTCAGCCCTCAAAATATAAAATGTTCAGTAAATATTCAATTGTGGTCTTCTATAATCATATATATTATAGTAAATAACTGATTTACTTACACTATGTGCCCAGCCTGCATAAGGGCCCCACAAATCTCTAAAGTAATCTCCTGAAAGTACATTATAATATTACAAACTGATAAATATTTCTTATAACAAAATAGAGTAAAACAGAATCCCTAAAGAAAGCCCAACACAGCAAAATTGAAAATGTTGCAGGCTCGGTTTGATTGAGTCTGTTCATGGACGTTACTGGAAAGTGCAAGTTACCGACTACACCCCAATTACTTCAAGCAATTTGATCAATAAAATTGCAATTTAACACTGACATGTAGTAGAATATTTGCTCTTGGCTAATTGAAATTTTAAGTCCTGAAATTATATAAGGATCTTACACTGGTTGCCAGTTAAGACCAGAATATCTAGCTCAAGGGTAACTGTTTACAGTAGTAACAAGGCTCTGCTGAGTTATAACAATTATAAGAAGCCTTTGTATTGATAGAGATTTTAAATTTTTTACAAAAAAAAAAATTATCACAAAATCTAGTTTGCTGCTTCAAAATTAATGCAGAAAATTAGATACATGTAATAGATTTAAAGCGGAAAAAAACCCTACGTAAAAGATTTACACGATGGGGAATACAATACCTATCTCTTCATACAGCTTCTCATTTAGTGACTTCGCCTGCTTCAATTTAGGCATGTAGTCCCTGGCGGCAATCTGCCATACATGGGTGTCAACGGGGATTGAACCTGGCTGGTCTAAACACATCAGAGCTACACAATCTGCTACCTGCAATATGTTAAATATGAATGTGTTTATATGCCTATCCTTCAAGCATGAGTATATACATGTTTCAAAATTTTCACCACAGAATGATCTATATTTAAACCAAAAGAATAGAAAAGAATGCAAATAGTACAGAAAAAGAATACTAGTACACAACATGTACATCATTCACACACAACATATGTATACCAGGTCAAAAATAGATCTCCCAAGTATTTTTCTTACTTTTATATAATAGCATATTGTATGAAGCATCAAAATTGTCTTACCAATACCTTTAAAGCATTCTATTTCACATGCTTTGAAACAATTCTGCCTAGATATCACTTAATAAACACAATGTCACTAAAGTGACCTTTACTAAGCATATACACAACACAATTTTACTTAAGTTACCTTAATTCGAACCAACACAACAAAATTACACTACAGTTTTCTAACCTAACACCATATAGCACATTCACAGCTTCAAGGAAACACACCTTTAACTGAACTCATCTAGCCATCGCACTAACCCAAAACAATCACACTTGAGTTATTTAACCTAAGCACTTACACAACACAATTTAACTTAAATTATCTTACCTAAGGACTTACACAACACAATTAAACTTAAGTTATCTAACCTAAGCACTTACACAACACAATTAAACTTGAGTTATCTAACCTTAGCACTTACACAACACAATTAAACTTGAGTTATCTAATCTTAGCACTTACAAAACAAATCAAAACATGAGTTATCTTAACCTAAGCACTTACACAGCACAGTCAAACATGAGTTATCTAATCATAGAATTTACACAGCACAATTAAACTTGAGTTATATAACCTTAGCACTTACACAACAATCAGACTTGAGTAATCTAACCTAAGCACTTACACAACTTAATTAAACTTGATTTATCTAACCTTAGAATTTACACAACAATTAAACTTGAATTATCTAATCTTACTATTCTTAGCACTTGCACAGCACAATTAAACACGAGTTATCTAACCTTTGCACTTACACAACACAATTTATCTCCAGTAAACTTACCCTAGCACAACACAGTTTAACAAGATTTATTGTACCTTGGCACCAACTCCACACAACTTCATGAGGTTTTTCTTAGCATCTTTATATTCCATGCTACGCATTGTATACAGCCAATCTTCTCCACCATTTTCTTGAATATATCTAGCCGATTGCTGGAAATATAATCATAATCAAAAACACCAAGTCAAATTCAATAAGTACTTGACAATACAGATAACACTGTGTACCAAATGAATATGAATTATTCCCCCCCCCCCCAAAAAAAAAATGTGTTTCTGGGTGGTAGCTTTCTTTTTTCAAATGCCTTACAATGTTATTAAAACTTTGGAAGAGACAAGAGCTGTTGGTAAAACAATGTGCTCAACTTTTCTTAGTGATTGATAGTAAAACAAAAGCCTTGATATTGAAAGATTTTCTATGTTCAAAAAGGGCCATGATTCTGTCAAAATCCATATTACAGTTATATACCTTGGACAGTGACCTCTTATTAGGCTCTGAGCCTCAACCCGTTCTCTTCAGTAGTTTTGGAGATACCAACTTGCACATAAAAACTTAACCAAAGCGTGACACTAACAATCTAGCAAGTACCAAAACCTCCTGCTACTCTTTGAATAGTTGACGTAAAAAATTGTTTTTAAAAATAAGATACTTTATTTCATAAAACTATATAAGGTAACACATCTGTTTTTATCACATAAACCGCAGTGCAGGAGTGTAATAAAGCCATTTAATAAAAACCATATTACACAAGTTTAATAACACTTTGACGTGACGTCATCTGCGCTATATAGAAACATAGCGTTAAAGCGCGCTTATGTTAGCCTTACACTCTAGGCGGGTCATTCAAAAATTACTCATTTCAACAGTTTACTGTTCTTATTTTATAAGAATAAAACAATATTATGCTAGTTGAATAAAACAATATTATGCTCAGAGGCTCGCATAATATGATTTTATTCAACTCGTTCAATAAATTTAGTATTAAACTACATTCATTCAATATCCTCTATGTGTCTACCCATTTTATAAAAATAATGTTCACGACATACATTGCATTCTGGTATGTTAGCATCACATGATATCATTTGGTGTGTAAACATTTCTTTCCAATGCATGTATGTATTGTGTAATATTGATTAATTGCACTAAATTGCCCAGTGACAGTTTAATAAAAAATAGTTTTAAATCGGTCTGAATATATTAAAAACTGACCGAAAATCAATAAATCAATTGTATATAAATGTAGATTATGATAATTCTTAATTGTGATTATAATATAAATGTAGACAAACCTGTATGTATTTTGCCCTATATCCAAAGCCCAACTTTCGTAAGTTTTCTTCCACTCCTTCTGCAGCTAATGCTTCAACCTTTGGAAATATATAAAATTCTTCTCCGTCCACACAATTGGAAACTAATATCTTACGTCCATAGTGCTTTGCCAACTTGTCTACCATAGAAGTAATTCTAGAAATGTTGTTATTCGACGAACAAATAAATGAAAATAGGCACTCTACAGGTTCTTGTCTAAGCATCCGAATGCCAGTAAATTCTTTTGATATCTTTGAAAAATGTTGGTCGGCTTTTGACCAAGATTTATACATTTCTTCCAATTTAATATCTAGCTGAAAATAATCTTTTAAAACATGATCATCGCTATCAGTTTCTTGTTCAACACTGGAATTGTTATGTACAGGTGGAAATGATTTAAGACAATGTGAATTCATTGTTTCCAGATCCTTCTTTACTTTTGGTATTAAATTGTCCACAGGTTCTTTCTTTATGCAGTGCATCTTGGAATTTTCTTTCTTTCTTTTCTTTGCAGGAACTTGAAACAAAAAGAACAGAAAAAAATGAAATTGGAAAAGTAATTTGCTGTCAAGTTCACTCTGTAATAGCATCCTTCTGAAATGAAAATAATAATGATCTTTTATGAGATAAAGTGTATTTGAGCCACGTCATGACAAAACCAACATAATGGGTTTGCGACCAGCATGGATCCAGACCAGCCAGCGCCTCCGCGCAGTCTGATCAGGATCCATGCTGTTCGCTATCAGTTTCAGCTTTCTCTACTTGTAATAGGGTTTGTAAGCAAACAGCATGGATCCGGATCAGACTGCGCGGATGCGCAGGCTGGTCTGGATCCATGCTGGTCGCAAACGCATTACATTGGTTTTGTTGTGACGCGGCTCATTTATTTAAACTAATTAACTAAAAGTTCAAACTAATCTATTTCGTGTCTCACTCTTAAATCATTCTCTCTGATAGCTTGGCAAAATTTTCATTCCAAAAGACAAAAGAAACATAAATATTAATATACAACTTGTACATAATTATTCAATCTGCAATTTTTGCAGTACATTTTATGTTACTTTTTGTGTAAATTTTATTATCTTAGTACAAAACAATGTTGCATATTAAGCCATGTTCATCTAAAGAGTAATTTATTAATGATATCATGTAGACTCACTATTTCTATACCTCTTTGATCTTTTTCACCTACTTTCTTTTAGCTTGCAATACCTTAAAGGCCCATAATGACCCAAAAATGAATTTATTTTATTTCTTAAATGATTTTCATTGAGATCTCCTGATTATGAATTATAAAAGGTTAATCATTGACCAATTACCTGAACCATCTTTAGCCCATTTCACCTTTAGGAAAATAATACAGTTACTGTGATTTGGTATTTTGTATGAAAGTCAAAATACTACTTTGTTTACATTTTGCTACTTATATGACAATGTCACATTTAGCACTACTTTCTTCATGTGATAAGTAAAGTTGGTGCTCATAAACCATCATTTAAACATCATAATAGTTAATACTCATGTTTGCCCTTTCTAAAGAAGGGAAAAATTATTCATTTCCGGGGCATACTGTGCCTTTAAAACTATTGATATAACTACCAATATCCAATTCAAGAAACTCATACACCATGATCCCACCCACCAACCAGGGTTTCCATGTAGAGTGCTCACTACGCGAGCAGGTCTAATTCCCTGCACAACCCCAAAGCGCAGACCCTGCCTGCGACCCTCCGCTGTATAGCTACCAATTCCTTTATCCTAAGGTTTCATAACATCTGATCAAAACGGTGTATTACCAACTGTATCCAAGTCTGGTTCTGTTTTTATCTCTTGTTTAATGTCCACAGCATCTCCTAATTCTGCCTTAACATCATCTTTATTTCTATAAACCTTATAGAACAGTTCTGTATCTGTCTGATGTAACTGCCACACTCCATTGCCAATAACCCCTGTGTAAATACCTGGCATATATTCCTTCCATCTGCAAACATAATAATCATAATCAACAGTGATTTTTCCCCCCTGTATTTTACAGTCAGAAAAAGGATGTTTCCCTTAGCCCAAAAAATGTATATTTTCCATTAAAAATGCTATTATACGGGAAGTCAAAGGCCGGGACCGCAAAGGCTTTGCAGACTTCCCGAAAGTTGAAAAAAACTGTCAGACATTCGGTCTGACAAACCACGAAAATCTGTCGGACCGAAACAAAATCTGTCGGACCAAATAAAATTGATCAAAATCAAAGAAAAACTTGTGTTTGTATTTCTAAGACACTTTTTGTTTTTTATTTTTTCGCCGTAAAAATCTATAAAATAAAAAATCGGCACAACCGTACAGCGCATTTTCATCATCTCCCCGTCATACACCAATGATTCATGATTCTGCTTCTATTTTTCATTAAATTTTGTCTCAGGACTATTCTTTTCATCCTTTTATTGCTGTTCTGCGCACTCTTCTGACGTAGATTTTCGGTTTTTCCAAGGTTTGGCACCTTTAGCGACGCCATTTTGTATACATGCGGCTTGGATAAAAGCCGGACAGTCGGACCGATCCGGAATAAAAAATTGTCGGACCTGATCAAAATTTATCGGACATGTCCGTCGGACCGACGTATTTCGGGAAGTCTGGCTTTGGCTTGCCCGGGCTATAGACTACATGTGTATATTTAAAAGGAAATCAAATAAAAATCAATTAAAAAATATATAGAATTCTCTACCTATCAATGAAATTTTCAGTGTCAGTTCTAGTTGGGCCCCGCCATTTTCAATGTAACTCAATGATAAAAGGTGAGGTATTCCAATAACGGACAATCGCAACTTTTCGGATTAATAATAATCATCGAGACGAGTGTTCCGAGTGAAAACGGAAGTGGTGCATGAAATACCGAATGACACATTTAAAACGGAGAAATAAATTATTTTTAACTTACTTCCCCGTTCATAGGCTTTGCCTAATTTCATATTATTTTCATGCTATTACATTTTCCCCCTTATGTCAGCTAGATGACAAAAAGCTGTCTCTATACACAAAGCCTCTGCTATTCACTAATCTATGAATGCTAAATTAAATTGAAATTATCAGTTGTTGGAATTTGATGTCCCCTCTTCTGATTTATTGCGCAATGTTTTCCCCTTCAGATATTATTATCATGGGGTGAATCGTCAGTGGGGCGAATCGTTATCAATTCGACATACCCGGTAAGGTATCGTTTAGTAGTTAGCCAACTAATTAATTTACATTACTATAGAATTGGTTAACTGAAATACATGTACTGTACGGTAAACCTGAAAGACTGTCCACAAGCTAGTGTGAGATCTAAACGAAGCTCTGCAATTTTACACGGAATTGTTTTCCACATGGGGGCTGCCATCTTTAGACTGCTTTAACGCCTGCAGGACAGGGCGGACCGTGAGACGGGGCGGACCATACCAGGGCGGACCGTGACTCGAGACTTGGCGGACCATATTTTGGGACAGGGCGGACCGTCACTCGAGACTAGGCGGACCTTGATTTAAAAAAGTATTTATATGTGTACTAATGTAATAATATGACTCGCCATTAAAACTGGATCGGGTTCCTCCCTGGGAAAAAAAAAAGAAATCTGCATGTTAAATGTTGACTTCTTTAACATGCACGAGTAATAATTTCTGCTCCATTTGTTGTCCGTGGGCAATTGGCAAAAAATCATATTTTCAGTTTACCACACCCCTGGCTTTTTCATTAATGGACTGAGAAACGTGCAATTAAAAGAACTACGCACGTTTATTATGGATATGCAACAAGAAAATACAACAAGGATCAACAATGCACTAACATAGTTTGCACTCTTACCCTATGCTACGACCAGATGTAAACAATACGTCCGCACAGGGCATGCGCGGTGGTTAAATACCACCCATTTCATTCGATTAAATTCTAGAACAACCACTACTTTCGGTTTCAATTTTGCTGACAAGGAACAGTTTGAGTCAACGTAAGTGTTAATTTTAATTGCAATGTCCAAAACTTGCACTACACGGCGTAATTTTCATTACATATCCGGTATTATCATCGTCATGGTAGTTTTTATTCCAGTCGGTCAAAATGACGGTACACATTTACATGTAAACAAACAGATTTAACTTCTCAGACAATTTAAATAAGGAATGGACACACGGTAAACTCTGTTGCAACGTAAAGTATATTCATAAACCTGTTTGTGAAAAATTGTCTCCGTGTTCAAATAAATTTCAAAAACGGGGAAAAAAAGCAGTCTTTTACCGATACCCTGCAACAGAACCTTATTATTCTGACGAATTAAATTGACTTTATAACGCTCGTATACAATTATTTATTGATCGATTTTCATTATATTTATTTTGTAATACCTATCATTCAATATGCAATCAAACAAAACCAAGTTTTCCTACATTCAAGGAAACTGTAAGTTAGGACGAGCTTTCAAAACGAACAGGTAGCGATTTCCAACACGCTTATCGAAACTCCAACATGGCGGCTCAACCAAGCTCATTTGCATAATTTATTCATAAACGCAGGAGCATAGAACTTTGTTAGTGCAATGCTAAGTAACATTCAGAGAATGCAGTCCCCACACTGGACTACCGCAAAGGCACTCAGTAGGGTACCCAACAAAAAGCAAGAGAGGGCACAAAAGCCGGAATATAGAGTAGTCGTGCAAATAAATGATAAGATTTGAACAGTACAGAAACCACTAAAATTTTAAAGCCGTATAAAACATATTAAAAGCAAGTGAAATAACACAATGGTATAAAATATTCAAGGAAAAATCTATTTTTGATTTTATATGCTGATGACCAAGTATTATTTGCTACAAATCCCGACACCTTACAAAGCATGCTTAAGGACATCGAAATATACTGTAATACCTTTGGACTTAAAATAAACATAGATTAAACCAAAGTTATGATTTTCGAAAGAGGCAGACCTACACATTTTGATTTTCATCTTTATGGCAAAAAACTTGAAATAGTAACGTCTTTTAAATATTTGGGAATATACCTTTTTAAAAATGGAAATTGGTCACGAACACAAAAAAGCATAGCAGAACATGCATCAAAAGCACTTTATAGACTGTTTGCTATTCTTCATCAATATGAATTCAAAACTAGTGAAAAATGTAAATTATTTGATTCATTAGTAGCATCAATTCTTAATTACTTGTCACAGGGTGAGAAAAATGTGCAGCCTGACCGGGACTCGAACCCGGGACCCTCGGAATACCGTACCGCGGATCTACCGACTGAGCTATCCGGCCGCTTACACATCTTCTCCCCTAAATAGTGAACAGTTCTGAACCGTGACATACTTTTCGGAGGTATGGGGAAATATTGAAGGTAGTGATATTGAAAAGATTCACACGAAATTTTGCAGAAAAATCCTAGTTGTTAATATATCAACAAATCTGACAGGATTATATGGAGAACTTGGTAGAGAACCAATGAAAATTGTAAGACAAATAAACATGATTAGGTATTGGTTAAAAATTCAAAAATTAGAAGACAACAAACTAATAAAACAAATGTATAATATGCTATTTAAAACTAGATGCAGATAACAATATAACTTATAATGGCCAAAACTGGACATATCAAATTAAAACAATATTAAACAGACTGGGTCTTTCAGATATGTGGAACGATTTACATAAATATCAACATATTCCTGTTTTTGAATTTATAAAACAAAGAATATTAGACCAATATCATCAAACCTGGTTTTCAGAAATAAATAACTCTCAAAGACTTTTAACATATCGTAGGACAAAATATTCATTTTCGATCGAACCTTATCTTGATTATTACAGTTTAGAAAGACGTTTCAAAATTGCTCTTAGTAGATTTCGTCTATCATCACACAATCTTGAAATTGAGAGGGGTAGATACTATAATATTCCAAGACTAGAAAGAACTTGCAAATTTTGTCGTTCTTTACTCATTGAAAATGAGTACCATTTTCTACTTACTTGCCCGATATATATAGATTTAAGACACAAATTTTTGAAGCCTTATTATTTTACATGGCCAACGTTGCAAAAATTTGATAAGTTAATGATGTCTCAAAACAAGAAAGAAATTATCAATTTATCTAAATATCTATATTTTGCTAACAAACGGAGAACAGAATTAGAACAGTAGTAATCATCTATTTAAAATGAACCAAGAATCTCGTGTAACTAACCAAAAGCTCCTTTGTTTAAATAATAACACTTATGTATTCTTTATATGACCTATCACTACACATTATTATATTATTGTAGGCTAGAAGTAAATGTATATTACTTAATGCTGAAATAAATTGTTGTTGTTGTTGTTGTTGTTGTTGTTGTTGTTGTTGTTGTAATTTAAAAAAAGTATTTATATGTGGACTAATGTAATAAAAGTATTAAATTATTGATGTTTTTGTTCTTCGTTTTAATATTTCAATGCATATATAAAAGTAAAAATATAAAATAAATTTTAAAAGTTCATGTGTAATTGAATATTAATTTGCTGAATGGACGATGTCACTCGAGACGAAAGTATTTAATTGTGGATGATTTTGGTATTCTTTATAATATTTCAATCTAAACCTTTCTATGTAACATATGAAACATATATATACTGAACCAAAAAAAGGAAACTTTCGCAAAGTATCATGTGCCAGTTGTCAAGGGTACCACAAAGGGTACCACATAGATGTACACACTTGTATATATGTAGTAGCTCGTAAAACTCGTTTTGTTTGCAAAATCGGTCAGCTAATCCCGTATAAAAGCCCGAAATGTTTATTCAACGTAAAAATCGAGTTTCAAAAGGATTGAAAAACTGTACTAACATATCTACATTCAAACTTGGAGAAAGTTTCTTTTTTGTTTCAGTATATTAGAGTAGTTTAAAAAAAATTTCTCAAGAAATTATTTGTAACTGCGTCGACTTACGCAAGTGATAATTGACCAATTATCGGGATATAACAATGTTATTGTTTGTATAAGGCGCTAACGCTGCTAAAATTGATAAACTTTATTAAACAATTAGACACATAAAAAAACATATTTTGTTGTACAATACACGAAATAACAATAATAACGAATAACATCACATTAAAATTATTTGCAATTCAACACAATAACAAAAAAATGAAGTGAATTATTTGAAAAACAAAACTATCTTATTAAAATTTTAATAATAAGCACAGACACATGAAATAAAATGAACACTGAAATAGAATTTATTAAACAATAGGACACATAAAAGAACTTTTAAAACTTACTGTATTTTATATTTTTAATTGAATATTTGAATTGAAATATCAATACGAAGAACAAAAACATCAATAATTACATTAGTCCACATATAAATACTTTTTTAAATCACGGCCCGCCTCGTCTCGAGTGACGGTCCGCCCTGTCCAAAAATACGGTCCGCCTAATCTCGAGTCACGGTCCGCCCTGTCTCACGGTCCGCCCTGTCCGTAATTCGCTTTAACTACGATATTTGGACGCTCATAAATTAATGTTGACATGCAAGCGCCTAGATTCTTGAATCTAAATACCAGTCTAAGTTGCTTGGGAGACGTTTACAAATGGCTGCCGCTTATGTTCGAAAAGAGACAGGTGATTTTGTTTATTCCATGATTTAGATTCCCCATGCTTTTAATATTCCAAAGAGAAATCTTTCAGCTAATCTGCATTATTTTCTTTGTTTAAAAAAGAGCTTTTATTTTAGCAGTGAGAAGCTATAAAATCTGGGAAAGTGTGATCTACAAATATTTACCAAAATTTTATGATTTTGAAATTTGACATGCATGCATGCTAATAACTTCATGTATAGTTTTGGTAAACACTATTGTCTTCTGGTCGGGGACCATCAACCGAACACTTTTTGAAAATTTTCCCATGCAGATTTCATAATCCTAAAGCTAGAGATCTTTATGGACAGTTTACACTGTACAGCTAGCAAATACATATAATGCTTATTTCTGGTCATGATAAAACTTAGAGTGGTTGGACCAATGCTCGGCGCAAACCAATGCTCGGCGTAAAAAAATTTTTTTTTAGAATATATATCTGAAAATGTCTAGAGTTATCTCCTATTTAGGTCACTCAGGTGCTTTTATTTACATCTTTCACCATTTTATCCTGCTGTGGTTCACTGCTGGTAAATTCACGTGACAATGCTAATAGCAGAAGAACAACCGTAATTGTAATACACAACATATAAATTATCAAAATCTTTTTAACACTAGAGTTCTGGGGCTGTAAAATTTAAACTAAAAGTTGGGTACTTGTAAATGTATGAACCTAATTTGGTTGTAACATTTAATTCAATATTTTTTTTCAGAAAAAATAAAAAAGAGATTTTTTTCGAAAAAAAACCCTTTCC